GTGATTCCATCTCCTGGCTCCCTGCTCTGCCCCCCCCAGTTCCCATCACAGCCCCAATACCAGCAGCAGCAGGGGCTGTGGGACCCCACCGCAGCGTGGTGGGGGGAACGAGCCAGCAGCAGGCAGGGGTACTCACCCTTGTGTGCCCCCCCAGAGCTGGGTCCCATGGGGCTGCCCCATCCCACCCCACCCGGCTTCCCTGGGGGTGCAGCAAAAACCCCATAATATCCATTTTGAGCCTTTGCCAGGGAAACAGGAGCTAGGCAAAAGAGGCTGGGGGAAAAAAAACCAGCCTGGCCTGTCTGGGGACACAGCATGCCCACCGCCGTGCGGAAGTGACCAGGGGTTGCAGACAAGCCGGGTCAGCCGTATCCATTGAGAACTGTTGTGGAGGGATAAAAATATTTCCACTAGCTCTGTAAGAATTTATAAACCTATACTCTGCTTCTCCTTTAATAAATGCCTCTATGACCGTCATGCCAAGGTTGGGACTTCTGTAAGAAAATAGCAAGATTAAAAAAAAGGAAAGCGCTCATACACCCTGCAGGTCCCGGCCCGCGGGGGCCAAGGGATGCTCTGGCTGGCGTGGGGACACAGGTGGCACATGCCAGATGCTGCCCCAGCACCCTGCAGCACCCACCCCGAGCCCCGGTGGGATGCCACCCCCCCACCAGCCAACCACCTGGATGCAAACCCCGTGCCCAGGGGTGAACCCACCCAGGGGACCCCAGCTGGGGCGCCCAGGCCAGGGAGGGGACGCATCCCCATGCCAGTGAGCTCCCAGTGATCCCACTGCTCCCAGTTGTGCCTCCACCCTGCAGCCTCACACTCCCCTTTCGTCTGTCCCTGTAGCCAGGGGGGAGCAGGGAGTGCTCGGGTCCATCTCCCCAGGGATGCCCTGCAGGTGCTGGTCGGGAAGGTGCGGACCAGGGCTCACCCTGCGGACATGCAGCAGGACATGCAGCCAGGAAGCAACATGGATGGGGACACACAGACATGACATAGTACTCTGTGGAAAAGTAACGCAGATGGGGACAGCCTGGGGGGGACATAACATGGTGCTCCACAGAGCAGAAATGCAGATGGGGACATCACGAGGGGACATGGGGACATGCTGTGCTAGGAAGTAACATGGATAGGGACATCCTTGCGGGGCTCACAGGGACACACAGTGATGCTATGCCAGGAAGCAGCAGGGAAGGGACATCCTGGGGACACACAGGGACAGCACAGTGACAAGGGACACCAGGGGCTGAACTGCCAGCGAGGGACAATGCTGTGGCCCCAGGTCGGGAAGCGCCATGGGCAGGGGACAAGTGTTATTGCTTTACAAGGCCAACACCAAGGGGTGGCCAGGCTGGGGAGCTGGTCTCTGATTTGGGGTTCAAGGGACTTTCTCCAGGGACTGTGATCCCCCAGTGCTCCTCATGCCATGGCGCGCTCCCCACCCCCCAGGGACATGGGGTGACATTCGGTGGGGACAGGGACCCTGCTGAGGACACAGGGCTGGACATCCCCAAGCTTCAGTCCCTCCTTCAACGCTGCTGGTGTGGAGGAAGCAGAGGGTCCAGGTCCTGGCTGTCCCCCTGGCTGAGATACC